CCTTTCCCCGACTTGCCGTCACCCCCCCCCCTCTCCCCTACCCCCCCTTTTTTTTTTTTTGGTCCGGACATTTTTGGCCCACTGACACCGGTCCGGACTGTCTGGGTCCGGTGGTGTCCGGATCACCGGACAGTCCGGACCGGTCCAGACACTCGTCCAAAATACAGTCCGGACGTGTCCGGTGTCCGGGTCCGAGGTTACCATGAGCCAATTGCACTGATTCGCAAGTCAACCACCCTCAACCTCGCACACTCATGCAATGAACATCCAGATGAGTGTTCACACTTGGAACCGATAGCCGAGACAGAAGAATCACCCGAGAGATTGGTACGCAAAACACCTTTATTATACACAGAAAGTGCTCATGTCTCTTGCAGTCTCTGCCGCTCACACAAAGTCTGAATCGAACCAAGTAAGTAACCGACCACAGATCCCTCTCCCTTCTCTCTGTTTCTCTCTTGCCCCCTCGCTCTCCCTGGTTTCGTATCGCTCAACCTCACAGTCTCTCTCTCCTGCCTTGGATCGTGCCCTGATTACACCCACTCAGATAGCTGCCACTTGGCCGCTACGGCCGCCCGATCTCCTACTTCACTACCCTAGCGATGGAGTCTCGTCCAGCACCTTCTGCCATGTGCGTGGGAGGTGCCTAGATCACAGCACCCGTGCCGAAGCCAACCTCATGACCGTTTGAGAACCAGGGTGGTGGTCCCGGCAACAGAGTGGAGCCATAGCCAGAGTTGTGTGGTCAAATTTCAAGAGTCAACCTTTATTTTTTGGGGAGGAGGGGGGGAGATGGATTCCTGGGTGGGGGTTAGGGGAAGGGGTTTCAACATCAGGCTCAAACCTCATGATCCTCACGAAAACTCACCAGAAGAGTGCGACGGTCATCAAGAGGGTTCATTACCAGAGTTCTGTGTAGTTTTTCAATGACAGCATCCATTTCCTGCAGCTTTGGATGCATAAGCGGGCTGCAATACATGGAACCATTGGAACGATGTATGGATTGATTTAGTAAAAAGTTTACTACGCAAGGAAATAAGCAATGCAAACAGCGACGAACGAAATTGCAAGGCCTCACAGAATACCAGAGGTCAATGAGCCGAAACTGAAAGCAGAAAGCAAAGCGAGATTACACCAAAATTTAATAGGAACGAGCAAAGCACCGAGCTCTCTTCATAACGAAAGCCCATCCTAGGCACCCATTATCAATACAACAACGACAATATAGTCCTCCTATCGGCAGCTATCCGCCAGTTCCACCAACAGCTACTTCCATCCTCTAGCCTACAGACTACTACAACAGGCTCCTTACCAGCACCTCTAGCAAACCCAGGTTTTGTTATAATAAAAAAAAAAAAAAAAAAAAAAAAAGAGGCYCCACTTGCAGTCTACGCAATCCTGTTTGAAGACTCTCACAATGATTAAACCGCCTCAGCTGACTTTGTCACACCAGGTAGTACGTGCCTCGTCACACCGGCCTCATTTCCTCTCTCCCTCCACAGAGCCTTTCACCACTGCTACTCTTCCACCACTTACCTATGGTTTTTGCAGCTCGGCTATGGCTTCCAGACGGTCCAGACCCCTTTGTTCCTCACTACCACCATGCAGCTTCCTCCTCGGGCACAGCGCTCAGCTGCTGCTCCAGCAGCACTGCCGCCTTTGTACAATGCCCGAATGTGTCAAAGTCTGTGTCGTCCAGACTTCTATGCTACCTGGAGAGGCCAAGCAGCCTCCCTACTGACCGCGTCCTGTCCCAGTACCCTGCGCCCAGGTCCTGCCGGAAACTGCCCTGGGCCCTTGTAGAATCTGCTTCAGGCCCAGCATCCGAGTCCGCAACTGCTGGGGAGGTTGGACCTACTGGTTAATTGCAGATGCTGCACATGAAACAACAACGTGGAACTGACACTGTATCTTATACACATCTAGATGTGTATAAGAGACAGTCTCTGTATCGTTCCAATTTTAACGGATGTCCCGAAGGACAAACTGATATGTCTTTGTAATATCACGAAATTGAATTTAGTGAAAATTGATTAGATTTTTTTTTCGTGTAAAATACTGACTTCCATTTCATATTGAGTAAGTGAGGACTACCCTCACTCAATACAAAATGGAAGTCGCGGTTTTACACAAAAAAAATCTAATCAATTTTCACTGAATTCAATTTCGTGATTTTACAAAAAAATGTCAGTTTTAAGTTTAACTTTTAACGAAATGTCAGTTTGGCGGGCTCCGAGTTCTGCTCATTTTGCCTGGCTGAGGGCATGCTGCATTTTCAGGGCGCCCCCCTTCACTTACGGTTGGCTGGCCCGTTGTGGCCTTTGCGGAGGTCCTAAATCCTCACACTCTCTCCCCCTCCGTTTCAAGAGTCCCGTGAGGAAACCTTTAAACCTTTAAACCACCAGTACTTGGCCCAGCTATCAATGCCGAGCCTGAATATGCACTGCGCGCCATTTCGTGCCGACCCGCCAGCGAAACAAAAAAAAATTGTTTCGCTGGCAGCGTCAGCCTTTCAGGTCTGGTACCCCAGGCCTCCGAAACTTGCGGGGCGTTAACGACAACGCCCCATGGCCAACATATGGGCCAAGTACTGGTGGTTTAAACCACCTGTTGTTTGCACTTCAGCATTTGCTCGCACACATTGGCAATGCCTGATGTACCTGCATGGATATAAAATACAAGGCTAGCGCTACCCTCCTCATTCCTGAGCCCCCCTCCTCCCGTCCTCAACGAAGAACCAGAAAAGAGAAACATCGTCGCCAAATGTTGAGGCAGAAACAAAAAAACAAAAAAAAAAGGAACTCTTCAAGACTCAATGAAGAGGATATACCTTGAACGCCCCCCTACATGTCCAATATGGTCCAGACCGATATAATGCAAAATCTGCACAAGGAATGACATTTTGACAAATGTTAGGAAACAATTTTTTTTACGTCCAGCATCATAAAAAGTGACTTCATTCTACGTGAAGAGTTCAAACAAAAAACAGAGTCAATTCACATTCTGTACTCTGGTCTCAATTAACACTGATCATTTACACTTACAATGGTTAGAGGCTTAGAGCTTAGGAGGACTGATTCTGTGAGGCAGAATCCTGCTCGACAAGTGGAGGTGAAAGTCGACGACCCTTTCAAATTATTTCCAGCTGGATTTCATTTGAGCTGCTAGATTCAGCATG